AAATATTTTGACACCTAAAACTCCCTAAACACTCAAAACTAAACCCTAATAAAACATAATTAACCCAAATATAAATAATATAAAGAAAAAATAATTTTGAAAAAGTGGCATTTTTGTAAATATTTCAAAAATGTGGCATTTTTGTAAAGTGGCACTTGAAAAGTGACATTTTTTGAAATTTCTCAATTATTATTTATATATAAATAACATATAAGATTCATGAGCAACTGTTTTTCTTTTAAAGAAAAAGTATTCGCTATAACAATAAATACTGATATATATTAGGCATATTGTTGACGATCAATTGTGAAATATTGCTCTCTTATTTAATTTTCTTTTTCAGGCATTAGGGTTAGTCTTAATCGCACGCAAACACACACCTGTGACTGGTGTATGTAATATTTTGTCTCGGGACCATGATTAACAAAGAAGACAAGCGACACAACTTGATCCAAGAAATTGTGACTTAAGATTTGATTTTATGAAACAAATAGTCATTAACCGACCAAATTTATGATCTTTTGAAATAATTTGATAAGACAATTATTTACTAAATCGATGAATTATTTAGTGATAAATTCAAATAACGAGAAAAAAATTTAGTAGTGATTTTCGTGGGTCAGAAGTGGGAAACATATGTATTTGGTGTGGAGTGGACAAATCGTAATTAGAAAAAATAATATTTTCTTGTAAATATATTATTTTGAGCAGTAGTACTAGTACTAAACACAAGTCGTCAAAGAAATCGGAATCAAGAAAAAGATAGCTAAAGCATTAATTGCTAACTCGTTTCGTTGAACTGAATTTTGTCATTGAGCAGAAAACTCGCACTCTTCTGATTTTATACCATATGAACATACTAGTTTTCAAAAATAAATGACAATTGATGCCAAAAAGAATATAACAATCATTGGAAAAAAAAATCACTAGCGGGTTATATCATACATACGAATAATGCCACAAAAGTTGTAATCTTTGTAGAATTGTGATTCCATAATAACACTTTACTGTACATACTAATTTGACATAGACCTATAAATAAGGAGATCTTAAAATAGAGAGAAGGTAGACTAAAGAAAACTCTAATTATAGTACTTACAATACCAACATTGCTACTACCAACAAGATTATCGTTATCGTTGTTTGAAACAGTGTAGTTCACAATGACACAATCTCTCTAAGCATTGACCCATACAATTTATCTTCATAAAAATTCGTCAAAATAACAATGTAAATAGGATTTTGATTCGAATTAAAGTCAACGAACTTGATTTTTCAGATTTAAATATATAAGATAACTTATTGGCCCTGTACTTCAATGCCCCAAATTCAAAAATGCAGCATATAAACACCAAAAGCCTAAAAATATCTAGTTCACTTACTCATATTTCGGTATACCAATGAATTTGCAGCTTTATATCTGCATATTTCACTAAATTAATTAGGATAAGACTATTCAAAATATCATTTGCCAAATTTTTTTTATTATCATTTTTAGCATATATTCCCTCCGTTTCAAAAATAAAAATGTTTTGTAAGCTCT